AAGGGTGGTCATGGTCATGGTCATGGTGGTGAGGTGGTGGTGGTGGTGGTGGGTGCATCGTTGCCTCGAGATCACTGGTAGTTTGGGCAGTGGTAGTCCGCTCTTCCTCCTGCTAGGTGTGTAGGCATTGTTGTGTACGGGTAGTTAATGTATGCTAGGTTTGGCATGTGATGGTGTTTTTGTGGTTTGGGTGAGTTGAGAGAGCAAACGTGACTGACAACTGTCCTGCTTGTCGTTGACGGGTTCATCATAGAATCATGATATTTGTTTTATCCATTTACCCCTCCACTACGATAAATGTGTCCAATCCCGCACCTCAATAAACATGTTCCCAACTGGAGGCCGCTGTCGACTTAAGGTTGGAGGCGTTGTGCGAGGATTAGTTGTGTTCCCCTGTGCACCGGAACCCCTCGTGCCTTCCGCCCCCTTTCCGCAGGTCAATCCACAGAAATCCGGGGTCTTTCCGGATCCCGGCAACCGCCAGAATGGCAACCAATGGATAAGCACGCCACAGGGCGGTCGTGCTTCCCCGACGCCACTGCATCCTGGGCTTTCTGCCCCGCCATCGCTGCCCCTCCAAAAAATTTTCCCCGCCATTAAATGGAGAGCTGCCGCTGTCCGCACTCTGGCAACGAAAAACCACTCTACTTTTTAGAAAAATGGAAGCAAACTCACCACCTTGTCCTTGCCACCGCCTTTTGCCCTTGGCCCTCCTGCCGCGGCGGTGAACATCCTGTGATTCGGGCCTGTCCTCTGTCCTCTTTCCCACCCCTCCCCACGACCAATTGTTGTGCCGTGTCCCCTTCGTCGCGTGTCCAGTCTCAAGAGGCGAGACCGACTTCGGCACTCTCCACCACTGGGTTCCCTCTTCGAATTCCCTCCACCAACAACACCGACCACTGACAGATTGCTGTCGATCCCGCGTTGTTCGTGTTGTTCACTGCGGTCTCGGCAAATTTACGAGCTGCCAGACTCGACCCTCGATCCCCTCATCCAATCGTCAGTTGTGGTGTGACTTGTTTGATCGAAAACCGGCAACCATGTGCGGCATTCTCGGTCTCATTCTGGCCGACGCGTCGAGCACCGAGGCGGCCGTCGACCTCCACGAGAGTCTCTACTACCTCCAGCACCGCGGCCAGGATGCCTGTGGCATTGCCACCTGCGCCCAGGGCGGCAGGATATTCCAGTGCAAGGGCAATGGCATGGCCTCCAAGGTCTTTGAGGACGGCAAGCGGGTCGTCGATCTGCCGGGGTACATGGGCATCGCCCACCTGCGGTATCCGACTGCGGGAACCAGCTCGGTATGTCCCTGTTTGTCTGTTTTGGTGTAGTTGCCCTATCAAGCTGACCATTGGCTGCCCCCCAGAGTGCCGAGAGCCAGCCGTTCTACGTCAACTCGCCCTACGGCATCTGCTTCGCGCACAACGGCAACCTGATCAACGCCCCCGAGCTGCGCGACTACCTTGACAAGGAGGCCCACCGCCATGTGAACACGGACTCGGACAGCGAGCTGATGCTGAATGTCTTCGCCAATGCCCTCAACGAGACGGGTAAGGCCCGCGTCAACGTCGACGACATCTTCAGCTCGCTGGCCCAGACCTACCAGCGCTGCCAGGGCGCCTGGGCCGCCACCGCCATGATCGCCGGTTTTGGTATCCTCGCTTTCCGTGACTCGTTCGGCATCCGCCCACTCATCATGGGCAGCCGGCCGTCGGCCACCCTCGAGGGCGGCACGGACTACATGCTGGCCTCGGAGAGTATTGCCCTCCGGCAGCTGGGGTTCCGCGACTTCCGCGACATCCTCCCCGGTGAGGCCGTCTTCATCGAGAAGGGCGGCAAGCCGCGGTTCCACCAGGTTGCCGAGGCGCAGGCCTACTCGCCCGACATTTTCGAGTACGTCTATTTCGCCCGCCCGGACACCATCATGGACGGCATCTCGATCAACACGAGCCGGCAGAACATGGGCGCCAAGCTGGCCGACAAGCTGCGCGAGGTCCTGGGCGAGGAGGGCGTCAAGGAGATTGACGTTATCATCCCGGTTCCCGAAACCAGCAACACGGCCGCCGCCGTCGTGTCGGAGCGCCTCGGCAAGCCCTTCTCCAACGGCTTCATCAAGAACCGCTACGTGTACCGCACCTTCATCCTGCCCGGCCAGAAGGCGCGCCAGAAGAGCGTGCGCCGCAAGCTGAGCGCCATGGAGTCCGAGTTCAACGGCCGCGTCGTATGCCTCGTCGACGACTCGATCGTGCGCGGCACCACCAGCAGGGAGATTGTGAGCATGGCGCGCGAGGCCGGCGCCCGCAAGGTCATCTTTGCCAGCTGCGCGCCGCCCATCAAGCACCCCCACATTGTGAGTTTTTCCTCTTCGCTTCCTCCCGGCCTGCGGTGATGCAAAACTAACCTCTTTGGTCAGTACGGAATCGACCTGGCCACCCCGCAGGAGCTCATCGCGCACGAAAAGACGCGCCAGGACATCGCCCGCCACATCAACGCCGACGACGTCATCTACCAGGACCTGGACGACCTCAAGGCCGCCTGCATGGAGGTCACGCCCGAGGGCAAGGTCAAGGACTTTGAGGTCGGCGTCTTCTGCGGCAAGTACAAGACCGAGGTCCCCGAGGGCTACTTTGAGCACCTCAACGAGGTGCGCGGCAAGAAGCGCAAGATGGCCGAGGACGCCTCCGCCGCCGCCGGCGGCTCCCAGACCGTGGTCGCCAGCAGCGGGCCCGTCAACGTCGCCAAGCGCGCCGCGCTGGTGGATGGTGCGGGGAATGGTAACGGCGTGGGCTTGGAGCATCGCACGCCGAGCGCCAAGGGCGTCGACGGCGAGCCCGAGGACAAGAACGCGGGCATGGCGAACCCAAATAACAGGCAGGATATCAGGTATGTTTACTTACTCCCCCATTTTTCTCCCCGTTGACCACCTCGCTAATTTTGAGTTTCTAAACTAGCCTGCACAACTGGGCCAACGAACCCACCCCCCAATAAACCCTCTCTCTCACACACACAACCTTCCGTTCGAAAGCTTTTGAAGAGCAGTTTCTTCTCTGGGAGCAAAGACTTAGAGGGTGTCACAATCCAATAGACGACGACGGGGATAGAGGCTGGTTCTTATGGGGTTGGGGGTTGGGCATGTGAAAGAATAAAGGGGGTGGTGCCCGCGGATGTTTTTCCTTGAAAAAAAAATAACCCCCATTGTTAGCACATAAAGGGAGAGAGAAAGAGGCACATATGCATCTGACACATTCAGTTGTGGGCTGGGCGGCATGGGCAGCTTCTAGCTTCTTCTGGCTTTTGCTTCAAGACTTGGTAGCATTGTCGGCGTAGATGAGATGGCGGGGTGGAGGGGGGGTTGGTTGTAGAGAAAATGTAATGAGATTTGCCCAACCGTTTTTGTGTGGTGTGGGTGTGAGGTGCGAGTTGTGAGGTATGAGAGTGAGGTGAGGTGGGAGTTAGCGAGGTTTGAGATGTGAGAGAGAGAGGTGAGATGTGAGTTGTGAGTTGTGAGTTGTTGAGGGTGTGAGAGAGAAGATGAATGTGTGTCGAGTTGTCGCGTTCTGATCTTACTTGAGGAAAGGAGGGAGGAGGAAAGGAGGAGGAAAGGAGGGAGGAAAGGAGGGAGGAAAGGAGGGAGGAAGAGCGGCAGAACAGATAGTGCTAAGTTTGACACTTTTGACTAGAGCTGAGGGGAGTAAAACATGGGGGGTAAAGGAAAGGGGGGAAAAAAGAGAGAAAGGAAGTAGAAAAGAGAAAGGAAGTAGAAACGAGAAAGGAAAGAAAAGAGTAAGAGGTAGAAAGAAGAAATGAAGTAGAAAAGAGAAAGGAGGTAGAAAAGAGAAATGAAGTAGAAAAGAGAAAGGAGGAAAGACAAACGGAGAAATGGAAGAGGAAAGAAAGATATGATATTGCAGATGAGAAAAAGACAAAAAAAAACGAGGCATCGCTGCCGGGAATTGAGCCCGACGTGGGGGTCGAACCCACAACCTTGAGATGAAGGAGAACCCGTAAGAGTCTCACGCTCTACCGATTGAGCTAGCCGGGCAGGCTAGTAATTGTTGAAGTTGGGGGTTAAACTGCAAGTCTATAAGGGTGCAACAAATGCGAAAGTCTTGTCCCAACGTCTCTCGTGGCCATTCTAGAACCATCAATTCTTCTCAGACAACAAAATGCATGAAACACTGCCACTTCACATTAGAGGTTCCATTGATCGACTTGCCCGGGCAGCAGCCCTAGAGCCCAATTGTGCGCGACCAAGCGAGGCATGCCTTCTACCGCATCGTCGATCATTTTGACGAGACCCAAGGGAGGGACTTCAATGGGAAAGCGGTCGAAAACAAGGATGGTCTGGTCAGCGCTGTTGATGTTGTAGGTGCTGGCAGGAACGGTGGTGGCTGCCAATACAACAGCTTCTTCCTCCAAGTACACAGCGTAACGACTTCTCATGGCCACATCTACACTTACATCTCCGAGTCAAAGCCTCCTTCAGGAAGCCTTCCTCGCCGTTGTCAGATTTCGATTCTGCCCTTTTGAGAGCGCGGAGGAGAAAAGAGAAGAAAAGAGGAGAGGAAGACGAAGAAGAGAGAAAAAAATGAGACGACTATGATGTCCTGACAGTGTCAATGTCCCTGACGAGCACGCCGCAAACAAGCAACCCCTGTCGGAACCACACACGATGCGGATCGGTATGGTGTAGCGGTAACATCGTCTCTCACACTTCTCAGAAGTGCCTGTTTTTGGGTTTCCCGATCCCGTTAGATGTCCAGGTTGCATCCTCTTTTTGCCTCTTTGCGAGAGTGGTGAAACGGCCGTCTTTGTTGTTGGCGGTGATTTTGAAGGTGAGAAGAGCTAACAATATTGGAAAAGTGGAGGCAAACCCTAACCCAGCCCAGATGCTTTTAACCCTGATGCAGCAGTTGGCGAAACCCCACCAAACCCCATGACCGCTCACGAATTCACACGATCACGATTCATGACCAGCTCCACCAGAGCATCAACAAACAGGCCGTGTAGCTCAATGGTAGGGCGTTACTTTCCGGTTCTTCTGACTGTCTGGTAAAGGTTCTGGGTTCGAGTCCCAGCATGGTCGAAGCATGCAGTTTTTGCTGCTTTTTACCTCGAGGTAGGGAGGGTTGGTCGCTTTATGAGCTTCGGTGGTGTTTCTTGTTTTTACTTGGAGACCAAAATGGACCGAGCACCAACATACATGTCTGAACTCGCCCAAACCATCAAAAAGAAAACGACCTCGACCGGGTCTCTTTGCAGTGCGGTTTGTGTGGATCGAACACACGACCTTCACACTTCCTTCCCGAAGTTTGACTTCAGTCTGACGCTCTCCCAACTGAGCTAAACCCGCGGATGATTGGCGCTTGGTGGAAGAAGAGGGCTCATGAAGTGGATGGCGAGTGGAGTAGAACTAGGTTGGCAGGTTGGCTTGAGAACAGTGGAGCACAGGAGACGGCAGATGGCGGACGGCAACGGGACAACCGAGTCACCAAAACTACCCCATCGGTGGTTCTGGCACACTGAAGATGGGGTGTGATTCTCGGGGTTTTGAACGCGGGGCTGGTCTCAACGGGGTTGTGATGACCCAGACTTCCTGGTCTCACCCGGCCGCGTGTAAGTGACTTTCCCTATTCGGCACGCCCTCTTGACGTCGCAAGAGCCAAACAACAGCGGTCCCAACCGGACAATATCAAGCATTGCACGCTCTCAAGACGCCCAAAGCCTCTGCAGTTCCGTCAATCCACTTGACTGTACTCTTCACGACAACCAAAAGCCCAACACCGCCCAGCGGAAACGAGATTGCGATGCAGGTACGGTGCGTCTCCCCGCACTTCCCAGGACACCACCGCCTGCATCCCAATGAGCCGTATGCATGTCCAATGAATAGCCGTCGATCACCGATTTACCCGGGGGTGCTCCGAAGGGACGCGATCAACGGCCTTGGCCGTCCGGATTGCTGGTTCGGCTGAAGCGGAGAACTCCAAATTTGGAGCTGCGGGAGCGGACGCGTCTGCCTCCAACCTTGACACAGCATGGGAAGTGCCCTCATTAATATGGGATGATGGACCAGTTGGTCTTGTCCCGCCTCCGCGGCATCGGCGCGGTGTCGAGCGAGGAGGTAAATAAACTCTCCTCCTCCCCCTGATCGACCTGCTCTCCCCTTCCCAACTCCCACCGCCACTTTCCCCCAAACCCACCACCCCCCTCCAACCGGCACCATGCGTCTCTCAACACCCCTTCTCGCCTCCACCCTCCTCTCCCCGGCCACGGCACAACTCCACCAGCTCGCCAAGCAGGCCGGCCTCCTCTACTTCGGCGCCGCCACCGACACCCCCTTCCAGCGCGAGCGCGCCCCCTACCCGCAGTCCTACGCCCAGTACGACGCCATCCTCAACTCCCCCACCGAGTTCGGCCAGACCACGCCGACCAACGGCCAAAAGTGGCTCTTCACGGAGCCCGCGCCGCGCCTCTTCAACTTCACCGAGGGCGACTACGTGGCCGACCTCGCCGCCTCCACGGGCAAGCTCCTGCGGTGCCACGCGCTCGTCTGGCACAGCCAGCTCGCGCCCTGGGTCGAGACCACCAACTGGACGGCCCCCGCCCTGCGCGACGCCATCACGCGCCACATCCGCGCCGTGGCGGGCTACTACCGCGGGCGGTGCTACGCGTGGGACGTGGTCAACGAGGCGCTGGACGAGGACGGGTCGTACCGCAAGAGCGTCTTCTACAACGTCCTGGGCGAGGAGTACCTGCGGCTGGCCTTCTCCGCCGCCGCCGAGGCCGACCCGGGCGCGCGGCTCTACTACAACGACTACGGCATCGAGCGGCCCAACTCCAACAAGACGGCCGGCGCCAAGCGGCTGGTCAAGATGCTCCAGGACGCCGGCCTGCGGGTGGACGGCGTGGGCATGCAGGCGCACCTGCACGCCGACAACCACCCGAGCGAGGCGGAGCTGGTGGCGACGAGCGAGGCGTACGGGCAGCTGGTGAAGGAGGTGGCGTTTACCGAGCTGGACGTGCGCATCAAGATGCCCGTGGACGCGGCCAAGCTGGAGATGCAGAAGGAGGGCTACCAGAAGGTGGTGGCGGCGTGCGTCAAGGTCAAGGCGTGCGTGGGCATCACCGTGTGGGACTTTTACGACCCGTTCAGCTGGGTGCCGGATGTGTTCCCGGGCCAGGGCGCGTCGCTGTTGTGGTTCGAGGACTTTACCAAGCACCCGGCGTATGACGGGATGGTGGAGACGTTTAAGAAGCTGATCGCGGCGAAGAAGGACTGCAAGCGGAAGCGGAGGGGCGTGACGGCCGGGGGGAACTGAGTGTCTGAGTATAAGTGTGTACTCCTTCAACCGACAGATTAATTTACGAAACTGTACAACATGGTATCCTTCATAACCCATACATCCGTCATCCCCTACGTAAGACAATCAAGACACCAAAACCCACAAACTCCAAACCCCAGCGCTACCGATATCAAATCGTTACCTTCCCGACCAGCGGCAAATCCCTGCTGCTCCCACCCACCTCGACTGTATACTCCCCCCTGACCAGCCGCCACCTCTGCGCCACCACATCCCACACACTCAGATCTCGCCTCGTGAGCCCAAACCTCACCGTCGCCTTGCTCGACGCGTTCAAAAACGGCTTCTCAAACCCCCTCAGCTGCCTCACCGGCGCACCCTCCGCCGGGATCCCCACGTACAACTGCGCAACCTCGGCCCCGTCCACACCGCCCACGTTCGCCACGTCCGCCGACACGTCGACCAGCACATCCCACAGATCCCGCTGTCCTCCCTCGGCCACCTCGCCTGTGGGATACTCGCCAAACGCCCCCTCCTTCGCCTTGGCAATCACGAGGTTGCTATAGTTGAACGCCGTGTAGCTCAACCCGAACCCAAACGGATACCGTGGCGTGACATTTCTCGCGTCGAAGTGCCTATAGTCGATAAACACGCCCTCGGTGAAGTTGCTCTGCGGGAACCGCGCAAGACTACCCTTCTCGGGCACGTCCGGGCCCAGCACCGCATAGTCCGACTCGTTGCGCGCCACCGTGTACGGCAGCTTGCCCGAGGGGTTGGAGCGGCCGTACAGGAGCGAGACAACAGCGCGGCCCGAGGCTTCGCCGGGCAGGTGGGCGAACATGAGGGCCGTGACGTTGGGGTGGTCGACAAACTGGTCGACGAGCCGGATGCCGGCGTTGTGGAGGACCACGATTGTGTTGTTGCACCGGTCGGCAACGTGCCTGATCAGCCCGTCGGTGTAGTCGTCGCGCACGCCGGGGCGGTCGGCAGCCTCGGTGGCGTAGGCATTGCCGAAGACGAGGCATGCATCCGACATGGGGTTGACAAAGGGGGTGCCGCTGACAAAGTCCCAGAAGAGGGCAGTTCCGTCGTCGTAGGCTTGCTGCATGAGGGCGTCATAAGGGGACATGACCGTCGATTGCGAGGTGGCACCAGAGCCGCCGCCCGAGTACAGGGTGCCGTTGAAGGCAATCGTCGTGTGCCCAAACTCACCCGAATACCCAAAGAACTTGCCACTAAACTCGGTGTAGTTGAAAGACTCGGAGCCCCAGAGCCATGGTGAGAGGCCGGGAGTGGGATAGTTATGATCGGGATTTTTGGCCGAGTACCCAAAAATGGACAGCATCTTGGGCTCCTTCAGGGGCAAGGCGCTGCGGATATTCTTGACCAGAACGTGGCCCTCGACTGCACCGTCAAACAGGGTTGAACGGAAGCCCGAGTTTCTCGCATCAACAATCCGGTGCGGCTTGGTGAGATCGACGGCCATGCCGATGCCGGGCTGCGGAAAGTCCTTGTCCTGGCCCATTTGGTACCAAGTAGCAATGGTCCTGCTAATGTTAGGCGGGACGGTAAAAGGTGAAGGCAAGCTTACCTGACAACCATGTCATCAATGCGGGTTTCAGGAACCGAGCCGTTCTTCACAGCATCCACAAGATGAGAACCCCAGAAGGTGTTACCGTTTGGCATAGCAACGTCCATGCCTGCGAGGGCCGTGGCTGTTCCCGCGTGCTGGGCGCCCCAGTCGCTGACAACCCAGCCCTGGAACCCCAGTTCAGTTTTGAGGAGGCCGTTGAGCGATTTGCTGTTTGCACAACCGTACGAGTTGTTGAGCCGCTGATATGAGCACATGATGTTGCCACTGCCCGCATGGACAGCGTCTTGGAAGGGCCTGGAGAGGTGAGAAAGGGCAGTGAGCGCAGCAAGGAGCGAAACGTACCACAAGTAGATCTCGTGCATCGTCCTGTCGTCAATATTTGACGACACGGCCTCCACCTTACCAGAGGGGCTCCGGTTTGTCTCTTGTTCGTTCGCGATGTAGTGCTGGCGGCCATGTAAGCACGGTCTAATCTCATGACTTCACCCAATAACTGTACCTTGGTACTCGTAATAACACCAGCAGCCTGCACCGCCGACACCGTCTCGTACACCAACGCGCCCGACAGATAGGGGTCGCTCGCAAAGCCTGGCTTGTTAGCATCCGCCCCTCCAACGGGCACGGGGATCAAAGCTTACCTTCCCAGTTCCTCCCGCTCAACACAACCCGGCCGGCTGGCCCAACAACCGGCCCCAGCAGCACGTTCACCCCTTTGGTCTTGAACTCGCCACCCATTCCCGCGCCCCTATGGCGTGCGAGCACCTTGTTCCAACTCGCACCGACATGAATCCCGCTCGGCCAGGTGCTGACAAAGTCGGTGCCGCGGAGCCCGTTACCAGCATCACCCAGACACATGCCGGGGAACCCCAAGCGTGGGATCGCCGGGAGAAAGCCAGGGCAGCTTGTGTTGGAGCCTGCACCAGCAGTCAAGCTGATCTATCTCCAGTCAGGTCCCTAGTCCCTCTTCCAAAGAAAACGATCCAACTCACCTTCTCCTCAAGCGTCATCTTCTCCACCATCTCCCTCGCCTTCCCCATCGCTTCCGCCCACTTCCCCGATCCACTCATGTTCGCTACTCACTCATGTCAGCCTCCATCTATCTTCCTCCCCGCACACGCTTCAAACACCCAGTAGCGTGTCCTGTTGCATCATAAAATACTCACGCGAGGGATAAACCGCCGGCGACAACCC